AAAACAAAACAACAACAAATGCTAAAGTATAGAATTCCGTACGAAACTACATAATTTGTGAAGTTAACTGGTTATTTCACAAGATTCAGATTATTACGTATACATACACCATTTTAGATTTTTTGTATTCTAGAGTAAATCCGTCCTGATCAAAAATAACGTTCATATTATTTGTTCTCCGCTAAATATTGAATCACCGAGGTTTTTTTCTTTTCTCTCTCTCTCTCTCTGGATTGGAGTGTTTATTATTTTCAGGTTAGAATAATTTAGAAAATAAAGTTCTCATCACTGACTATTTATTGACAAAGATGTAATTTCCAAAATTGTATACATATTTCACACACTGGGTCCTCGCACGTGAAAATGGGGAGTACAACAGACTATACTTTTACTGCTCCTATGAGAAATGTGGGTGTATCCATTTACTAACCAGACACGCCCAATGATGCAATCATTAGCAGCAAGATAATAGACTTTGACGTCACGATGTGACTTCCAGGTATGTGTGTTGAAATAAATGTCCCGATCACACTATTAACAGCGGCTATATATATGCAAATAAACTGATCTCTGATTAGTATATCTAATGCATGAAGACTTCACGAGTCAAAATTACTTTGTAAATAAAATGTGGGGATTAAAATTTATACCAGGAACTCCTCCCTTTGCAAATCACACTGACAGTAAAACGCGTTAAACTCATTAATGAAAGCCCCCAGTTTACTTTGGATTTTTGAGATAATTCCTCCTTACCGAGATGTTGAAGAATAAAACCCACTTAGGATCCAGAAAGTTTGGATGAATTTATTTTGGATTTGTGGATTAATAAATGCTTACTGAGAGACTTTCTTTGGAAGGATAAAATCCCATAAGGACCCAGACAGATTGAATAGGTTTACTTTGGATTCTTGGATTAATAAATGCTTACTGAGAGACTTTCTTTGGAAGGATAAAACCCCATAAGGATCCAGACAGATTGAATAGGTTTACTTTGGATTTTTGGATTAATCCATTCTTAATAAGAGACCTTTTTCCGAAGGATAAAATACCTTAAGGACCCAGACAGTTTAGATAGGTTTACTTTGGATAATTCCTCCTCATCGAGAGACTACCTTTGGAAAGATAAAATACCTTAAGGACCCAGACAGATTGGATAGGTTTAAATTGAATTTGTGAATAAATTCCTCCTCACCGAGAAACTCTTTTTTTGGAATAATAATAATAATAAAAAGGATCCAGACAGGTTAAATAAGTTTAATTTTGATTTTTGGATTCATTCCTCCTTACAGAGACTCTCTTTGTAATGATAAAATCCCACAAGAATCCAGACAATTTGGTTAGTATTACTTTGGATGTTTAGATTGATTTATCATTAACGAGAGAGCGTTTTTAAAAAAGGCAAAATCCACCAAAGACTGAACCAGCTGTAGAATGATTGATATAAACTGTTTGTGTAAAAAAAAAACTATTTAGAAAGTGTTATCGACGATCAAACATTTTTCAAATTTCATGGCCTTAAAATGCAAACAATATTCTAATTGAAATTAAAACAAATTTATTTAAAAAAGTGATGTTTGTTTTGAATTTCGCGCAAAGCTACACGAGGGCTATATGCGCTAGCCGTCCCTAATTTAGCAGTGTAAGACTAGCGGGAAGGCAGCTAGTCATCACCACCCACCGCCAACTCTCGGGCTACTATTTTTACCAACGAATAGTGGGATTGACCGTCACATTATAACGCCCACACGGCTGAAAGGGCGAGCATGTTTGGTGGGACGGGAATTCGAACCCGCGACCCTCAGATTGCGAGTCGAGTGCCCTAACCACCTGGCCATGCCGGCCCTTACAAAAGAAAAAAAAAATGAATCTCAAAGTTAATTATGACACTGTTCTAAGCT